CTCCTTCTCCTTCTCCTTCTCCTTCTCCTTCTCCTTCTCCTTCTCCTTCTCCTTCTCCTTCTCCTTCTCCTTCTCCTTCTCCTTCTCCTTCTCCTTCTCCTTCTCCTTCTCCTTCTCCTTCTCCTTCTCCTTCTCCTTCTCCTTCTCCTTCTCCTTCTCCTTCTCCTTCTCCTTCTCCTTCTCCTTCTCCTTCTCCTTCTCCTTCTCCTTCTCCTTCTCCTTCTCCTTCTCCTTCTCCTTCTCCTTCTCCTTCTCCTTCTCCTTCTCCTTCTCCTTCTCCTTCTCCTTCTCCTTCTCCTTCTCCTTCTCCTTCTCCTTCTCCTTCTCCTTCTCCTTCTCCTTCTCCTTCTCCTTCTCCTTCTCCTTCTCCTTCTCCTTCTCCTTCTCCTTCTCCTTCTCCTTCTCCTTCTCCTCTGATTACGAAATTATTCTTATTTTGCTGTTACTAATGTTTATAACATCATAGTAGTTATGTTTATAACAAATATTACACCATAGATATTCATAGCAATAGTAACAAATACGTTAAATGAGCACAGCAGTTTCCCCATTTCTTATTTATTTTCTCCGGCGGCACAGGGTTTAATAGGCCACAGTATCTGCGTAAAAAAATCCTGCATGGATGTCAGTAGGCGTGGGTGTCCGTCGGCGTGGGTGTCCGTCGGCGTACGCTTACGTGCACAAGTACGGGCGTGTGTCTGAGCGAAGGAGGACAACATGGGTGTTAGCAGACGCGTTCGTGGGCGTGTCTGTAAAATAAAACCTCCCCCCGCCGTAGCCAGGTGCTCCTTTTTAAAAATAAACATTACCTCTTCCTCCCCGACTTGAGACTCGAGTTACGTCACTCCAAGGACGCGCGCCCTTGAACCCCATCATCTTGTCTACCTTCCCGTTTACTGCCTCTCCCTTTTCTCCCGTTTCTCTGTCTCCCTTTTTTATCCAACGAGAAGACCCTCGTTTCAGAACACTATCAAACACTCAGTAAAACAAGTCACACCAAGTAAACAGAACAAAAAAAAAAAAAAAAAAAAAAGCATCACGCAGAACTGGGATAAACTTCACTCTCGCTAAAATTTACACATCTCGCGGCGACGACGACGACGACCAGACAGAACACAACCGGAAAGGTCCAGTTTGCACAAGATGGGAGGGTTAGGGGGGGGGGGGAAGGTTAAAGGGGGGGGGGGAAGAGAAAGGGGAAGGAGGGAGGAAGGGAGGGAGGAAAATGGAGTGAGGAGAGGAGGGGAGGGGGAAGGAAGGATGGAGGAAGATGAGGAGGGGAAGGGAGGAGAAGAGAGGGGAGGGGAGAGGAGGGGAAAGAGAGAGTGGGAAGGAGGGAGTGAGGAAGGAGGGAGGGAGGGAGGGAGGTGAGGGAGGGAGGGAGGGAGGAGGGAGGGAGAGAGAGAGAGAGAGTGAAGAAAGAGGGAAGAGAGGAGAGGAGAAGGAAGGGAGGGAAGGGAAGGGAAGGAAAGGGAAGGAAGGGAAGGGAAGGGAAGGGAAGGGAAGGGAAGGGAAGGGAAGGGGAGGGGAGGAGAGAGGGAGAAACCGAAGAGAAGGGAAAAAGAGAAGGAAGAAAGGAGAAGGGAGAAAGAGAAGGAAAGAAGAGAGAGAAGAGAGAGAAAGAGAGAGAGAGAGAGAGAGAGAGAGAGAGAGAGAGAGAGAGGAGAGAGAGAGAGAGAGAGAGAGAGAGAGAGAGAGAGAGAGAGAGAGAGAGAGAGAGAGAGAGAGAGAGAGAGAGAGAGAGAGAGAGAGAGAGAGAGAGAGAAGCCATTCTAGTGTCAGAACACAAACACTATTGTTGCGTGATCTCGCTCTCTTGCATAAATTGCAACCAAAGAACGCGTTTTTCTCCCTTTCCCAACTGCCTCACTAGAATAAAGACTAAGATGTTGATGACAATAATAATAATAATAGTAATAGTAATAATAATAATAATAATAATAATAATAATAATAATAATAATAATAATAATAATAATAATAATAATAATAATAATAATAATAATAAAAACAATAATAAATAAAAATCAAAACAATTACAAAATATAAAAAAAGATGCTGCAGGGGGGTGGGGGATAAACAACAGAAGTGCCAGCCATTCCCACGGTGTCATCCCCGTGTCACGAGTTACCGCCAGCCATCCGTGTCACCTGCCAAACTGTGATCGCCCGTATGACACTATGACAGACGGCAACGCATACGGGCTCGTGTGAATATGCTTTTCGCAAGGATATTCTTTCTTTTCTCCCTTTCTCCTTCTTTCTTCCTTTCTTTCTTCCTTTCGTTATTTATTTGTTTATTTATTCGTCTATTTATTTTGTTTCCCTCCCCTCCCTCCCTCCCCCTCTGCCTGCTTGTCTGTCTGTCTGTCTGTCTGTCTGTCTGTCTGTCTGTCTGTCTGTCTGTCTGTCTGTCTGTCTGTCTGTCTGTCTGTCTGTCTCTTTCGTCTTCTCTCCTTGACCTTTACTCTAGTCTTTTGTCTTCTCTTTTCTCCGATTTTCTTTTATTCCCTTCTCCCGTCTCCTCTTTTCTCTCGTAATTTCACTCTTCATGGCGTCTCTTTCATCTCTCCTCTCCCTCCCTTCTATCCCTAATTCTCTCTCTCTCTTCCTCTCTCTCAGTCTCCCTCTCCCTCTCCCTCTCCCTCTCTCCCTTTCCCTCTCCCTCTCCCTCTCCCTCTCCCTCTCCCTCTCCCTCTCCCTCTCCCTCTCCCCCTCCCTCCCCCTCCCCCTCCCCCTCTCCTTCTCCCTTCCCCTCTCTCCCTCTCTTCCCCTCTCCCTCTCTCCTTCCCTCTTATCCATCGAGGATATCCGCCAAGCCAGCTATCACTCAGCCACCAAGCAAATCATACACAAATAACTCCACTTTCTTTACGCAACTCACAAGATAAGAAAAAAAAATACATGAATGCTTACCACCCTCCACCACCCTGTCTTTTACACAGACCGTATTTAATGAGTCTCCTCCTCCTCCTCTCCTCCCCCCCCTCCACGCCGCGCTCCCTCCGCCCACTCACAATAAAGATGGACCGAATCACACGCCCGCGGTTACATGACAGTGCAAGTTGCTCTGTGGTGCCGGTCCCCGCTGTAGTTTTTTATGTACGGTACATCATATATTTATATAAGCATAGATAGATAGATGGATGGATGGATGGATGGGTGGATAGATAGATAGACAGATAGATAGATAGATGGATGGCTAGATAGGTAGGTATACAGAAGGTATAGATAGATAGATATTGCATATATATGTTGCATGTATATACGCATGCTACTTACGTACACAAAGTAATATATATACATACAAGTGTATATACGACACCAAATGTTTTCTTTCGTTTTCTATGAATTCCTGAGGTTGTCACTGTAGGTGGTTGTAAAAGTCAAGCTCAGAGTCCAGATTACAATCCATATTCACTTATGCCAGGATTATTGCAATTATGTGTCTGAAAATGCGCAGACTGCAACGGTCTTTGGAGTAGCACGTCAAGTCAGCTGTTTGACAACTACCCTTTTGTCATGGCTCGTCATAAACCATAATAATTCTGATGTAACGCGTTTTTTCTCTCTCTCAGATATATTTGATTCAGATCTGATTAATTAACTAAGGATTTTTTTCTCGAATAACACTTTCTATAAACATTTTCCACCACAAACGACCTGTCTAGGCTTATGCAACATCCGGCAAGTGACAGCTATCATTTGCCGTAACTTCTTATCTACAATAACAATTCTGATGCAATACGGTTCTATTTTTCCACATATGAATGCTTACGCTCTAATTAATCACAACGATACTTCCTCTCTTATCAAAATTTCCACTTACAAAAAAAGTTTTCCAATCAAATTTTCAATAAACTTTTCCTATCAATTTCTCCACACACAACAAAATAACACCACTCAATTCTTTCCATTTTCCACCCAAACCTCCTATGAACCAGTCTCGACCGGCGCGGCAGCCGAAGCAGACGTGGCGGCAGCGTCTCGAGCGCCCCTGCCAGCCTGCCACATTCCGCCGTCGGTCTCCTCGCGGCAGAGCCAGTGGTGGCGGCGGCGGCAGTGACTTATGGACTGGGAGGACTGAGGGATTGATGACTGGGAGGACTGGAGACTGAGGGATTGATGACTGAGAGGACTGGAGACAGAGGGACTGATGACTGAGAGGACTGGAGACTGAGGGACTGATGACTGAGAGAATTTGGGACTGATGACTGGGAGAACTGGGAGGACTGGAGGGGACTAGGAGAACAGGAGACTAAGGGACTGATGACTGAGGGGGGGGGGGCTAGGAGAACTGGGGACTGTTGACTGGGAGGACTGGGAGAACTGGGGACTTATAAACTGATGACTGGAAGGACTGGGAGAACTAGTGGACTATGGGAGTAAGGGAACGGGGGGGGGGGGGGAGAAGGGTTACCTTGGCCTTCGCCTCGCCCCTCCCACACGAATTTCTTCGCCTTGCGTCATCGATAACTCAAGCGTAACCGCCGCCCATGATCACGATACGGTGCCGCGAAGAAAAAAAATAATAATAAGAATAATAATAAGAATAACAATAATAATAAGAATAACAATAAAATAATAACAATAATAATAACATCAACAAAAAACATTAATAATAAATCAATCGACCACTGCGGCAACTCCCCTAATAGCCGTATGCCATGCTTGATATATTCACTGACGGCAACACTCGTGGTATGGCAACGGCATGGCAATAAGCGGCAACTGTAACCGCGTGGTGTATCCTCGAGACGTATGGCAACCGAGGCGACCAGGACGATGCCATGCAGACTCACCGTACGGGTTAAGTCACGTGACAAAAAGGGGGGGAGGGGCAAGGAACATATGAAAAAAATATATAAAATCATAACAAACAAACAGCTGAAAAAAAGGAAATGGAATGTAGATAAGAACTAGAGAGAGAGAGAAAGAGAGAGAGAGAGATAAAAAAAAAAAGGGTTGACATGCTCACGAAATTCCAGCGCAAAGGGGCGACATGGCAACCAACGCGCCGGGCAACACTGAACACTCGCGCCTCGGATCCTTGGAGAGAAACCGTGGGATTTGAAGTCTTTAGATGAAGGTGTTAAAAGCTCTGATGACTAGATCTTTTCCCTTGGATGTCTTCTATGGCGGGTGTCAAAATGTTAAAAATTAAGAAAAAAAACACATACAAACATATATAGATACGTATACACACACACACACACACACACACACACACTCACACACACACACACACACACACACACACACACACACACACACACACACACACACACACACACACACACCATATAACAACAACAACAACAACAACAACAATAAATAAATAAACAAAACGTTCATGCATACAGCATCACGCTCTCTCTCTCTCTCTCTCTCTCTCTCTCTCTCTCTCTCTCTCTCTCTCTCTCTCTCTCTCTCTCTCTCTCTCTCTCTCTCTCTCTCTCTCTGACTCACAGACTCACCCACCGAGCTTGCGAAAACCTTGCAACTTTAGTCAAAACGCCACTTAACCTTTTTCCGCAGACAGCTTGCCGGCATGTCAGCGCCGATAAAGTCCACATTTTGCGTGATTATTTAGCTTTATTCCTCCCCTTTTCCTTCATTCTCCTCTTTCGTGAATCCTCCCTCTATCATTGACTCCTGTGTCATCCTCCCTCCCTCTCTCTCCTCCTTCCTTCCTTCCTTCCTCCTTCCTATTCCCTCCCTCACCCCTCTCCGTTCCCTCCCCTTCTCCTTCCCTCCTTCCCTCCTTCATTCCTCCCTCCCTTCCCTCCTTCCTTCCTCCCTTCCTTCACTTCCTCCCTCCTTCCCTTCCATCCCTCCTTCGTTCGTTCCTTCCTTCCTTCCCCTTCCCTCTCTACCCCCCGTACCCGTCCCCATGACATGCATCTGACAGGTCTCCCGCCCGCGCCCCCCTCTCCTGACGTGACTGCAGTCGGGAATATTTGGCCCCAAAGCCCCCCGCCCAAACGCACAGCTGATCTGCCATTCGCCGAAATGAAGCCCCAGCTAAACCCGGCGCCTCTTGGGGAGTCCCAGCGACGCCCTTTCGCCTCCTCCTGCGCCTCCTGCTCCTCCCAAGGGCCTATCCTCGCAAGACACGCGCGGAGACGACGCCCGGACACGACGTCTCTCCCTCTCCTCCCCGCGCCCTCCTCCGTGCCCACAGGTCCTCCGGGACAGGGGCAGGAGCCGAAGCGAAAACCACCCGCGTTGGGAAAAAAAAGGCACGACCCAGCAGGGCTTTTCCTCCCCTTATTGATTACCGCGTCGCCGCCTCGCCCGTCACTCACTTACCTCGACCACGCCACACACAGCCTCCGTGCGCCGCCCTTCACATCCCCGACGGCGCCCTCTTGGTGTCGAGCGCAGCGTCACGGCGCCGAATCTCCCGCCGAGGCCCGAGTCCCTCCGCAAGCGCCCAGGAGAGAGAGAGGCTCGAAGGCGCCGCAGCAGAAGGAGTCTCCTCGGGGCGACCGGCGCGACGCCAGAGCCATCTGGGGGCGGCGGCGGAAACTCCCGGGATAGAGCGGAGCCACATTTGCGCGACGTGTGGCATGCTCCGTTTTTTTTTCTCTTTTTTCATATTTACGTGGTTGTATTTTTTTTAATATATGAGGTTATATAAGGTATATTCCTATCCTCTTTTCTTTTCTTTCTTCTGGCTTTTTTATAGCAATATCAATATCAATATCAATATCATATTTACATGGTTATATGAGGTATATTCCTATCCTCTTTTTCTTTTCTTTCTTCTGGCTTTTTTTCTTTTTCTTGTGGGCGTGTTTGATGGAGAGAAGGGGATGTCGGGATGAGGGATTTGAATTTAAATAAAAAAAAAGGGAGGAGGATTCTTAGCCCAGGAAGGAGGAGGGTCGGTTACGGCATTGATCCGGCGAGGTTTTCGAATTCCGTTATCGCTCTTATCTCTCGTTCTAATTGAATGGCTTCGTTGGAATTACGAAATATGTCACTTTGCCACACTTACTGAATTGTATGACACTGACTTATGAGTCACCGAGGAAAAATGACAAGTGGTGTAACTGTCAGATTCTGTAATAAAGGATTTGTAAAGCAAATAGTGTACACATTTGCATTAATGTTCTAGGGTGACATAATTCCTTTTGCCCGATTGCATCATTTATATGTTAATAGCACAAGTAGGTTATGTTTTTATCTAAATTAGTTAATATCGGCTTCATTAAGGTGCTATTAGCAATAAGCGACTTTTTGAGAAAAAAAAATGAAAATTTTATTCCCTTTCGTTTACCGTATTTCAAATTTACAGCAGTTAAGTTTAGGGTCTATATGTTCTACATATTTATAATAATTTATTTATTGCGGTAATATTTTCTTTTCGCGCGATTTTACTCATTTCTGTTTAGTTTCTTGTATATTTCATAATGTGATTATCAATCAATTTGCGTCTTCCATTTCACTGAGTTTACAAGTATTCATTAACTAAATTTTGCTTATTTCATTTCCTA